GCCAATTCTCCACATATTGGTCTCAGCTTCCTTCACCTTCTTCTTCTTAACCGATAATTCTTTTTGGTTTGGCCACCTGCTGTTTTCTAAGTACTTACCAGTCAACTTCCTGGTTCGCTTCCTCCATTTTGTATCCACATTCTTCATGTACAAGTAGCTGAAAACCTTCCTAGCCCAACGCTCTTCCCCCTTTTCTCTCAATCGCTTCTCAAATTTTATCTTGCTGCTAGCTTCCCTGCCCTCAAATGATGTCCATCCCATATCACGTTGTACTCCTTGATTTGGTGTATTCCCGTTAGCTCCTAAAGCAAGCCTGCCTATTCCACGTTGCTTAATTTCTAATCTTGCTTGAACTTCTGATCTCATACACAAGACCGCATTGCCGAACGTCAGCCCAGGAACCATGACCCCTTTTCATATTCCTCTCACAACATCATACCTATTGTAATTCCACAGTGCCCTATTTTCATGACTGCTGCATTCCTGTTACCTTTAGTCGTCACGTATATTTCGTGTTTCCTCAGATACTCGGTCCCATTGCTTATCCATACGCCCAGATATTCGTATTTATCTGTTATCTCTAGCGTGACCTCCTGTATTTTAAGCTCACTACCTTCGTTGTAATTGAAAATCATGACTGCTGATTTTTCTTTACTGAATCTAAAATCTAACCTATCTCCCTCATTACCGCAGATGTCCACCAATCTCTGCAAATCTTCCTTGTTGTCGGCCATTGGCACTATATCATCTGCGTACATCAATGCTGGTAGTGCCTGTTCAATGAGTTTTCCTTGTTTCAAGAAAGAAAGGTCGAAGCCCAGTCCACTTCCCTCTAATTTTGCCTCTAATCCTTGTAGGTACATCATGAATAATAAAGGTGACAGGTGGCACCCCTGCCTAAGCCCCCGTTTGACCTCTGCAGGCTTGGATACCTGTTTTCCCACTTTACAACTACCTTGTTACCTGTATAGATATCCTTTAAAAGATTAGTGACTACATGTTCCACGCCTAGTGTGTCCAGTATTCCCCACAATTCCTCTTGAACCACGCTATCGTACACTCCCTTTATATACAAAAATGCTAGCCACAGGGGCCTGTGTTCCTTTTCTGATATTTCGATGCACTTCGTCAGTGAGAACAGACTGTCTTCCAACCTCCTGTGTTTCCGAAACGCATTCTGCAGTTCCCCCAGCACCCCCTCATTCTCTATCCATGCCTGCAGTCTTTTCTTTATAATCTGCATCGCCAGCCTGTAGACCACTGATGTCACTGTTATGGGATGGTAGTTATTTATGTCAGCTTTGTCCCCCTTTCCCTCATAGATCATGCTCATCCTGCTAAGTTTCCATCCATCAGGAACTTCACCATCGATTATTATTTTGCTCACTGCCTCTCTCAAAGGCTGCTTAGACTTCGGACCTCATGTCTTTATCAGCATAATTGGAATGCCGTCTGGGCCTGTTGATGTACTTCTAGGAACCCTTTTTTCAGCCCTTTCCCACTCTCATTGTGAAAATGGAGCCATTGCGCCACTTGATTCATCCTTGTCGATTGAGGTGCATAAAGCACTTCTTTGTTGAAATTTTTCTGTCACCCTTGTTCTTATATATTCAATAGCTTCGTCCCCTTCTAGCCTAGCACCTTGGGCTGTAGATATAAACCTCTGCTCTAGGCTTGTCTCATTTCTTAGGGAGTCTAGATGGTTCCGAAATTTTGCAGCTGCCTTTTTATCTTTCTTATGTACTTCTGCCAGCCAGTGAGCTCCCTTTCTTCTGATCTTTTCATTGATCAGAAGGGATGCATCCCTTCTACAGCTTAGAAAGGTTTCCCATTTTCTTTCAACATCATCTGTCGGTTCACCCCGCTGCTTAGCATGTCTCTGTTTCCTAGAGGCTTCCTGACGTTTTGCTATGGCTCTCTTAACTTCCTCGTCCCACCAACTTTTGGGTTTGTTTCTTCTTTTCCATGGTGACTTCACACGCGTCTTAGCAAGCTCTAGCTCAAACAGTCTTGTTTGATTCGTGTATGTCCACACTGTCTTATTATCCTAAGTGATTACTTTCTCAATTTGTTTGGTGGCTACTTCAATTTGCCTTTCTGGATAAAAAAAAAATTCCCGCAGTTGCTCATCTTGTCTCCTTCCCACTTTCACTGCTCTTCCAAAACTTAGCTTGATACGTTTGTGATCACTACCCAGATTTCTGGAGCCACTTTCATCTATGTGCATTTCCTTGAGATTATCATACATCCTGTGTGACATCAGTGCATAATCTATCGTTGACTGCTGCCTTCCTTCCTCCCATGTTATTTGCCCTTCACACTTTTCGGTACTGTTGCAAATGATCAAATCAAGCCTTTCACATATATCCATGATCATTTTGCCTGTCGGGTCGGTATACCCATCTATATCTTACATGTGCGCATTCATATCTCCTAGTATAGTTAGCATTCATATCTCCAAGTATAATGGATGGATGGATGGATGGATGGATGGATGGATGGATGGATGGATGGATGGATGGATGGATGGATGGATGGATGGATGGATGGATGGATGGATGGATGGATGGATGGATGGATGGATGGATGGATGGATGGATGGATGGATGGATGGATGGATGGATGGATGGATGGATGGATGGATGGATGGATGGATATGGCTGTGCCCTTTCGATCGGGTGGGGGCTAGCGCCACCAAGCTGTAATTCCTAATGAACCAAAAACTATATTTATTTTTCCCTTAAAAAGTGAGTTTGAGGATTCGTACTTTGCAGTGAAGAGTTATTTTCACTCGTGCCTTGACTTTAGCCACCAATCAAATAACCTCTCTCTAGTTAAGTCTACCCGCTTAAAGTTTATTTTGCCCTCCCGGTCCCTAAACCCCAGTGCTCTGAAAAACTCTGCGCCATCATCCTGAACTAGAGGGTAAAGCACTTCACAGAACATTATCAAGTGTTCGGCAGTTTCTTCTTCCTCTCCACCAGCACTGCATTCTGTGTCTACCCCTTCGTATTTGGCCCGATATGTCTTGGCTCGCAGTACTCCTGTCCTGGCCTCAAACAGTAGAGAACTATCCCGAGTATTATCATAGATCCTTTCCTTGGCAATTTCCTGCTTAAAAGTTCGATAGATCTCTAGTGCGGACTTTCAATCATGCCCATTCTCCACATGTGAGTCTCCGTTTCCTTCACTTTCTTCTTAACCGATAGTTCTTTTTGGTTTGGCCACCTGCTGTTTTCTAAGTACTTACCAGTCAACTTCCTGGTTCGCTTCCTCCATTTTGTATCCACATTCTTCATGTACAAGTAGCTGAAAACCTTCCTAGCCCAACGCTCTTCCCCCTTTTCTCTCAATCGCTTCTCAAATTTTATCTTGCTGCTAGCTTCCCTGCCCTCAAATGATGTCCATCCCATATCACGTTGTACTCCTTGATTTGGTGTATTCCCGTTAGCTCCTAAAGCAAGCCTGCCTATTCCACGTTGCTTAATTTCTAATCTTGCTTGAACTTCTGATCTCATACACAAGACCGCATTGCCGAACGTCAGCCCAGGAACCATGACCCCTTTTCATATTCCTCTCACAACATCATACCTATTGTAATTCCACAGTGCCCTATTTTTCATGACTGCTGCATTCCTGTTACCTTTAGTCGTCACGTATATTTCGTGTTTCCTCAGATACTCGGTCCCATTGCTTATCCATACGCCCAGATATTCGTATTTATCTGTTATCTCTAGCGTGACCTCCTGTATTTTAAGCTCACTACCTTCGTTGTAATTGAAAATCATGACTGCTGATTTTTCTTTACTGAATCTAAAATCTAACCTATCTCCCTCATTACCGCCGATGTCCATCAATCTCTGCAAATCTTCTTTGTTGTTGGCCATTAGCACTATACCATCTGCGTACATTAATGCTGGTAGTGCCTGATCAATAAGTTTTCCTTGTTTGACTAAACAGAGGTTGAAGCCCAGTCCACTTCCCTCTAATTTTGCCTCTAATCCTTGTAGGTACATCGTGAATAATAAGGGTGACAGGGGGCACCCCTGCCTAAGCCCCCGTTTTACCTCTGCAGGCTTGGATACCTGTTTTTCCCACTTTATAACTACCTTGTTACCTTTATAGATACCCTTTAAAAGATTAGTGACTACATGTTCCACGCCTAGTGTATCCAGTATTCCCCACAATTCCTCTTGAACACCGCTGTCGTACGCTCCCTTGATATCCAAAAATGCTAGCCACAGGGGCCTGTGTTCCTAATAGTCTAGTCGCGCAACGCCACCATGCGGCAGCGGCGAGTGGAGGCGGAGCGCGCGCTCGACGGCCTCAAGAGAGCGAACTCTTGGCGGTCGGAGCCTTCCCCATACCGCGCCCCGTGTGACCGAACGGACGTATAGGCGTGACACTTGCTCAGCGTCTTATGAGATGCCTCAAGCTTTCAGTCTAAATTTTTTGCTTTTCACACGCAACATTACACGAATATCTTGTCTGATTTGCGGCGTACCTGACAGGTCGGGCCACGTGATACTCGAGTGCCCATGCAATGCACATACAGGCCTATCGTCTACGCCGGATACCTGTGACGCCGGTCAAAAAAAACTTACACTGTCTCCAAACCTGGGAGGCCAAGCTCGCCTCGAAGAACCTGTACAATAGACGATGTGTCGTCGCCAGGGCCAGAAGGTTCCTGGAATGAAAAGACCTCCACCTAGGGCAGAAGCGGAATATGCACCGCTATACCGTTACGCACAATAAACGTTTATTCCTCCTACTCCTCCTTTCACACCTTTGCGGAGATTATGGTCCCCGAATTCGTGCTGTGATGAACAGAATAAGGTCGCTTGGTGTATGAATGTGTTTTGTGACACACCCGCGGGAATATCATGAGTGAACCACGTCCTCACCTTCTCATGCACGAGAAATCTCGGGGCAGTGTACAGTTTGTTTCGAATAGCCGCAGCTGCTGGCCGTCAGAACGACAGCTGCGCCATCGCCGCAGCTGTGCGCGCAAGTGCACGCCGCACGCCGGAGACCACAGAGTGCACTCCGCAATAACTCGTTGTCAGCTGCATTTTCGTCGGAAGCAAGTTGTCCTTGTTGCGAGATGGTGTTGTTCGTACTGCGGGTATTTAATTTGCGTAACTCCAGCTTCAACAGGTAAGTCAGAGCGTTTCTCAGACAGCATAGAGCTTTAGAAATTAAATCCGTCAGGATGAAGCTCCGCTCAGTCAATGTTCCCCCAGTCCTGAAATTATAAGACAGTTTTATCCATTCCTGCCATGATTCATGCTGCTGTGTTGAACAATCACACGTTAATATTTTTGTCACTCTCATATCCGCAAGTGAGCACAGCTGCAACCAGTCAATAGTAGCTGTGCACTCAAGGAAAAGGAGAGCAGCCCTGTTTTACAAATTATCAAAAAAGGACACCAAGGCCGCCAAACATATTCAGTCCGTCGATTAATATACGAGATCATGAACATGCAGGTTTTCAATTAGTGTGATTGGCGTGGACTCTTGATGCATTTTAAAAACGACTAAGTACTTCCCACGAGAACAAGATACCTAAAGCAGGCACTTGTGAGGAGCCCTTTGTTGCTTCATTTGCATGTCTACATTCGGCGTGAATACGCAAAAAATAAGTGCGCAATTTGTTGAAGAAAACAGCACACTTAGATACAATCTGAACAGAATTACTTACCCTCAAGATCAAGGCATATAACAACTGCTACCTATGAAGCATAAACCTGGAGGATAACAAAGTGGCCTCAACTTTAGTTGAGGACGATGCAGCGCGCAGCGGAAAGGAAAACGATAGGTGTAACCCTAAGGGACAAGAAGAGAGCAGAGTGTATAAGGGAACAAACGGGTGTGAGGGACATCACAGCCGAAATCAAGAAAAAGAAATGGTCATGGGAAGGGCACGTGGTGTGAAGGAAAGATAACCGCTGGTCATTAAGCGTCTAAGGCTGAATTGCAAGAGAAGGCAAGGAGGTGAAGCTGAGACAGAAAGTTAGGTGGCAGATCAGATTAGAAAGCTTGCGGTATAAAGTGGCAGCAACGGGCACAGAACTGAGTTGACTAGCGACACATGGGAGAGTTCTTTCTCCTGAGGTGAGCGTAGCCAGACTGATGACGATAATGATGATGATGATGATGATGATGGCATGCGCCATTCTGACATTTTTCATTTTTATGCCTAGGTGAGTGGTTAACGAGTCCCAAATATAATTATGACTCGTTACCTAAGCCTCATGAAAGAATTGTGGTTACTCCAGTCTAAGAGGAAAATATGCGCTATGTTTGCTTCGCATAATGACATTCCTTCTTTTCTTTAATCATGCTGCATAATAATTGGGACACCCTGTATATCACCTCAGCGTTAAAGAGGTAGGACAAAACTAGGAAAACGCACACGGGACAACACTGCAGACCTTCGTGCGTCGTTCTGGTGCACAAGGATTGTGCGTTTCTGGCCTAAATGTGTTTCTCTGCCCTGTAATAACTCTAGAAGACTTAATGAGATCAGCTATGTGGGTGAATTGGGTTAAGCTCGTGGTGAATATGGGCGAAGAAAAAGGGAAGTCGAAAAAATACAGGCAAGAAAGAACGGGGGAAGCAAATAAATGAAGAACCCGAGCGATGGTAACCAATTGGGTTTTTCGGCCGAAAAAGAAAAAAAACATACGTATATATAAATGAGGTAGCTTAAATACCTAAATTTACCTGACATTGCGTCAGGTAAATATATGTAAATATTTGTGACCATATTTCTGATGCCACGTTTGCCAGAACATGAATAGACAAAAAATGAAGTTTAGGGGACATTACTTACACGTTTAAACTGTATTGTACAGTAATCATGACCAAACATTTTAATGACTTTGAATGGCTGAAAAGTTTATTTGCTGCAGGTGGAAACCGAGACTAAAACCGTCATGTAATGCGCAATGTTTAACATTCGGGTTATCTCATATATTCACGCTTATCTGTTTTGTGACCAATGAATCTACTTGACAGCCAGTGCGCGTGCTGGTAATTTTTTGTTTGTTTGTTTGTTTGCTCAGTTCTCGCCACATTCCTGCTCTTCGGCAGTTTGAGCCACTCACCTTCACAATGAGTTCCAGAAGACGTGCTATGAGATCACTTTTAACGTGATTACGTTAAAGAGCTCGTTTCGCAGATATTCCGGCGGCGGCGTCGTTGGTTGTGAGCGAAAAATCATCCTTTTATGTGTGACCAGAAAATTGAAAACGATGCAAATAATATAAATGCAATAAAATCCTGGGCCACAGTTGGAATCGCACGCGGGTTCATTGGGTCCGAGTTGGAATAGAACCTGGGTCGTTGGCGTGGCAAGCAGATATTCTACCACATGTCCGCGCGACTGCTTGGGAACATGGTGAAACTAACTTCCTCTGCTTAAAAATGCATTGAATGTAACTTTCATGCTTTAATACCATATGCGTCCTGTATACATCCTTCACAATACAACCAGGAGTATTGCAGCAATAATGCGTGTTACAAGCGCCCATTGACCAGCGGGTGTCCGAACATGTGATTATAACAATGACTTCGTGGCTTAAAGCCGGTCACCCACTACAAAAGGCACACACGCTAATGCGCCTATTCTTTTAAGGCCGCTTAGTGGGCGCATAGCAAGTTCAGAAATGTTTCATGCACTAAGTGTTTGAAGTACGCACTGGGAACAGGACATCGCTATCGCGTTAAGCTTTAAGGTTCTCTAACTTTTTTTCATCTATGCGCGAATGTGGATGCTAAACTTGTTTCGTTGCATGACTGCTTGTACGATCGATGTCTCTCAAATGTGCAGACGTTCTTCAGGACTGCTGCCATGACGGTAATGGTGTGGGTGATGCTTCTGCTCGCGCAGGCGGCTGTGGCCATTGTGTGTCCACCACACGTCTGCGAAAGCACCAAGTGCCCGCGGCCGCCTGTGAAGACCTATCATGGACGGCTGAGCACTCAAGGGAGTTTCTGCGGGTGTTGCAAAGTTTGCATACACGAATCAGGTGAACATTTTTTTTCTGGCAGGATCAGAGGACACTATAGGAAAGAGAGGATTATGCTTGGGGCGCATTCAGCGGGAAAGGAGAAATGTCACTTCTCTTTAAATCTCTAAACGCCAAATTGGGAGGCTTAAATTTTGTAATTTTCAGAATGCTTCGTTAAATGCTCATGGTGTGCACTGATAATAAAGTTTCTGCAACAAGTCGTGTTAATACACAAGCTGCCGTGAGGCAATATCTACGTTCTATATTTAACTTGCAGCTAGTACACCGTTCTATTTAAAAATACTATATAGCCAATTAGAGAGTGACAATATAAGGGTGATCGATAAATGTCTTTGGTAAGCTCTACACATAACAATGTGGTGTTAACGAAAGATAAGTGATGTCACGCCTAACAAAAAAATTTTCACTGCTACGCACTGGTGGCCTGTTGAAACACCGAAGCTGGTGGCCTTACCCTGCTACTTTAACTCATCCTCACCCTCTCTACGAAACCCCCTTGCTAAGCTAAAGTGTAAAAGGCTTTGCTATGCGCTGCCCTCTCTCCTCCTCCTACACATCACTTCCCTTTCCCAACTCTTTGGTGTACTATACTAGATATCACTGCACTATATCTTTTTTCTTTTTCAGTGACTTACTCTCTTTTTTGTCTCTCATTCTTGCTGTCCATCTTTCTGTATATCTTTCTCCCGTTCTCTCGTCCATAGCAATGTAATCACGTGGTTCCCATCAATGCTTGTTCGCCTGCTATGCATTGATGACCGGGTGGTTATACGGACTGGGTGATTTGAAGTGCCATTCAAATCCCGCTTCTAGAATAAGTTTTATTTCGTTTCATCAATTTCTTTTCCAGCTATCTACTTCTCGCCACTCCTGTTGCTCTTTTCTTCCCCCCTTTTTCCTTCACCAAGCAGATCATTCGTTTAACTTCCTTCCTTCATCCCGGCTCTTTGCTTCAGCACTCGTTGTACGAGGTTCACTCTGTCTCATCTCAGGGACAACTACATTCTCCGCCACTCTCTTCCTCTCCCCTCTCCCAATGCATTCTGTTTCTCTGGCACCTGCTGTGCACTTTAGTTAGACTTGCCCTATTCTTTATGCCACATACCCACCCGAGTTTCTGCGCACGAGTTGCATGGTGCAGCGGCCTAAACAGTTTCTCTGTTATGAAAAAGCATCATTGCGCTAAAAAAGAAACGTGTATTAATTCACCTTCCGTGGAAACATGAACCTTCATTTTTAATCTGGAGAAGAAATATCGTTTGCACGACAACAATTTTTTTTCAGACCAGCAAGTGATTATAACAATCGTTTCGTTTTTATGCGTTTTTTCCTGGCTAGTGTTTTGTTATACTGTAATAGGTTGTGTTTTTATTGTACTGGTAATGGTAATTTAGGTGCTTGATTTTTCAAAAGCTGAAGCAGAAAGAATAAAAAAATGGTCATTTCTTACACATGGCCTAGTTGATGTTACAGCAGACCGAGCACATTGAAGATTTGATGTACAATAAAAATATCAAAACAATGACAAGTTATTGAACGAGAAATATTGCGGCCTGTTGACGAAACAAAATTACTTGCTTTCGTCAAGTAAGCCACAGCACAAGCTTTTGCTGCCATGTCGAGAACGAGAGGATCGTCCCAGTAGTACTTTCTTATACATGAGAGGCCGTACGTTATATTTTTCTTCCTTGCTCATTTCGTTTTCAAAGTGTGAACTTCAAATGATTTGGTTTTACGTATATTGTTGTGTTAAGTTACATCTCTATCCTCCTATTGTCTCGAAACAGTGTAAGTAAATAAGTGAATATATGCATAAATAATTCAGGTCCCCTCATATGGTCAACTCTCAATACAAAATAGTATACATTCTTCCAAATTACGTCGCTCCCATGGCGTGATAAAGGCAAAGTATTTCCCGGATATTTTTGTAGACCTAGTAGGAAATTATTTAAACTTTGGCACCGCAAGAAACACGGGAATTGGTGATATCGAATAAAAATGCTTGAAGTCGCTTCTTACACCCAGTGAATGTTCTGTCACTTCTTCTCAGCTCTCTGAAGCTTGGTCTTATGGATGATCGAGAACTCTATAATAAGGAAGGTGTAATATTTATTGCTGACATTCACCATTAGGACACATTCATCATCACTAGAGGTAATATTTAGTGCGTTATTCGTTTAAAAATGAAATTTACTGTGCGTTATTGAGAGAAAAAATTTTCGAAAGCTATCTTCCACGAAAAAGTTTATTGTGTTATTGAAATTGCTGCTTGCTTTTCACTTCAGCGTTCGGAGAACCATGCACGTATTCGCCCCTTCTCGGTGTGCCCTCGGCGTCCCAGTGCGCGAGGGGTCTCATCTGCGATCCTCGTGCGAGCGTGTGCATCCCAGCGCTGTGCTACATCGCCCGTCACCTCGATGGCCGTAACATAAAGACCACTTCTCGCGGGTTGAGTGAATAAACGCTCGTTTTCAGAAATGCCCCACAACTACCAGAGTATTTTACTTTTTTTCACTCGTTTCTAGCGTTTTCCTCGGAGAGAGAGAAAGACAGAACTCTTATTTTTGTATTCGGCAGTTTCCCGGGTTGTGGGGACCTTGCTTAAATGATGACCAGGAGCCATGACACTTGAACGTAAACTTCATCCTGTTCATTCAAAAAAGAGTTTCAAAAAAGAATTTCACTCTTTTTCATGAAGTTCTGGCTCTTCACAGGTATGGCTCTTTTTGATAGGCACGCCAACTCTCTTTGGGGGTCATCATACGCTCTCCCGAGAGCCTTCTGACCGAAAAGACAGTTAACGTGACGTGGCAAGTCAGACTACCCGGAAGGAGTTGCACATGCTTTTTTTTTTCATTTGAGTGTTGCATGGCTGTGAGTTGGTGCCATGGGGCCCTGCTGCGTATAGCATGCTCTCCCACTGTCTGCCATGCTAAATTTTTTGGCCCTAACAGGCATCGGTAGTCAGAGCCAAATAATGTGATTTAGGTCCACCATTTTTCGGCATAATTTAGTTTCCCAGATATTTTCTGGGCCATAGTGGTCCTACACCATCTGTGTTGGACATCCTCTGCTGTCATCTCTGTCCCCTTGGTGCACTCGCCTATGCTAGGGTGTCTCGATGTGCGCGCCTATGGCCTACTCCAGAGTGCCTCAATGCGCTCGTTTGCTTCCGCTTTGTTCAAAGTGGAGACAAGTGCGTCGTCTGCTACAGCGGTCGCCTTACTGGGCCCACTCCTCAGTGCGGCGACGACGACTGCTAAGCACTCGAGCTCGGTGACGGTGTAGCTCTTCTCTGCTCTGGTCAGTGTCTGACTGGCATATGCTACGACGTGCTGACAGCTGTTGCAGAGTTGGACCAGCACAGCTAGCACCAACACCTAGCCAACTAGCATAAGTATGAAGTTCAGCAAAAGCGCCAGGATCGAAATGCTTCAGGACGGGTCCTGAAGTCAATAAAAACTTGAGTTGCTGAAATGCAGCCTTGCATTTATCATCCCACAAGTGCAGTGCGTCTTTATGAAGAAGGGACGTCAGTGGGGAGGCAAGTTGTGCGAAGTTCTTAATAAATCGGCAGGAAGTGTGAGCACAGACCCAGAAAAAATCGCAGGTCCTTGAATGTTCGTGGTTCAAAGTTGTGAACCACTGCGGTCTTCTGTGGGTCTGGTCGTACGCCTTCTTTATCCACGAGAAAGCCTGATACGAGGGCTTGACGTTCTCCAAAATAGCACTTCTTTGAGTTTAAAACAAGGCCAGCTTCGCGTAAGCATTCAAACACAAGTGACAAGCGGTGGTTATGCTCTTGAAAAGTCTTTTCGTGGATAATCACGTCATCGAAATAGCACATGCAAATTTCCCCTTTTAGTCCACGGTGTACTGCATCCATAAATCTCTCGAATGTCGCTGGAGCATTGCACAAACCAAAGGGCGTAACGTTGAACTCAAAAGGACTGTCTGGTGTTACGAAGGCCGTATTTTTATCTGAGGGATGCATAGAATTTGCCAATACCAAGAACGCAAGTCAACAGGAGAAAAATAGGAAGCAGAATGCAGGCAGTCCACGGCGTCATCTATACGTAGCAAAGGTAGACGTCTTTTTTGTGATGGCATTATGTGACGATAGTCTACGCAGAATATCCATGAATTATCTTTTTTCCTGACTAGAATGACAGGAGCTGCCTACGGACTAAACGATTCTTGTATGACGCCCTTCTTTAGCATGTCTTCAACTTGCTCAGCGATGACTTTCCTTTCGGAAGGCGATACGCGATAGAACTTCGGGCGCATTAGTGGTGCTTGGCCTGCATAGGTGTGGTGTTTTGTACGTGAAGACGGTGGCGTAACGGTAGACGTCTCGTCGTGGGCAAAGTCAAAGTCAAAGACTCAGGTGTAGCCTGCGATCACCTCCTGCAGCAGAGACCGTTCAGTTGAAGGAAGTGACTTGATCATACGGTCAATGCTGGCAGAATTGTCGGGGTACGAATCGGCGTGGGGTTTCTTTACATCCACCGACAGTTGAAGTGACCGTATGGTAAGAGTACTTTGCTCTTGAAAGCTTGCAAATTTAAGTCCAGCAGGTAGAGATATGGGCTGCGCGGAAACGTTCATAGTCCACAAATCGGCACAACCATCGACGGTGAGCACGAGGCAAGAGGCACAATAACGTTTTTCTTAAGTGCATTACTGAAGTTCGCCTCTGCTAAACCGTAGTAAGAACCCGCACAAGAACGTGAAGAGTTTACGCGCCCAAACATTGCGGTATGCGGGAGAACCAGACGTCTTGAGACACGGAAAACACGTCCGAGCTGTCATCAACAGTATTTTCCGTGAAAGGAGAGGACAACGCGGTATGAAAAAATAATCCCACTACTAACACAATACAGAGTGGCACCACATTCGCGCAAAATATCTATACCTAGAATGACGTCGCGGGTTGCACGTGCAAGCACCGTTAGTTCATCTCTAAACGTTTGATTTCCAACAGAAAGTAAAACAGA